AAAAAAAAAAAAAAAGTTCTGTTCTTTCCTCAGAGGTAAATACAGTCAGGACACCCAATTTAGAAAAGACACAAACTAAGTAATTTGCCCAAGGCTATTAAGCTAATAAATGGTGGACGTGAAACACCACATCTAGATCTTTTGGATTCCAAAGCCTATTTTTCCCCCAACTCCTCATTCCCTTTAGCACCTTTGTACTTAATTTGCTCTTCTCATAGATCTGACACTCCTCCAGCTTCATTAACCTCACTTATAAGCGAGATAAAAGCTTATAAGTAAAAATATAAAGGATTCGTTTTCTTTTTGGAACTTTCCTTGATGACTCAACATTAAAGGGTGGAATGTTTCGAATGATTTTACCATCTCAGTGATAAAATCTTTCACAGCCCTTTCAGCTGTGTTTATTTATCAACGGTGTCATCATTGGGGAAAGGGAGAAAAAGAGAAGCAAAGGGCCAAGCCCCAACATGAGTCCGCAGAGCTAAGAATGGGTTCACGTGGCCACTTCCTAGCCCGGATTTACCTTCACTCTCACTGATCTGAGAGTAAATTCCCTTTCAGACGCAAAGCACTGAGCTGTCTTGGGGCCTGATGGCTCTTCATGCATTATTCATCAAGCATAGCTCCAGAACTTGAGGGAAACTTCCGGGCCTCCGCATGCCCACTCGCCCACCACAGAGCACCAGCGTTTGCAAGCCGGTCAGTACAGAATTATGAAAACTGAGTTGTTAAAGGCTCAGCCTCCTTCCCTCCCCACCCAGGAGCTGTCAGAGCTCTCCTGAGAGAGGGGCCTGCCTGTGACCTGTGGTCTCACAGATTGAAACAGCAAAATCCTAGAGAGGGAGTGAGGCAGTGAGGCCCAGAATACACTGATTTGCATGAGAAAAGACCAAGATTGATGGCTGCTGAGAGCTTGGCTTTGAGCCAAAGGAAAACCCAGGGCCTGGAAGGAAGAAAGCAGGGCGTAATTGAAACTCGCCCAGTGGTTGGGGGTCAGGTAGGCGTGAGGCCCTCAGGAGCCTCCGTCTAAAAACCAGCGAGCCTCAAGCAGGCTTTGGGGTTCAGTTAGGTAGTGCTTGCTCAGCCGACTTCAGCTTCCCACTCTGAGTTCACCTGGGCTTTGTTTTGAAGCTGTCTGAGGTATTACGAACTCCCAGAACATGTTTCAAAGAATGAGCAACACAGATAAAAGTTTGGTTTGGGTTGGATGCCATTTGGAGTTCCTCTTTAATTCACCCTGCAAGACAGAAAAACATTCTGAAAGAGATTTTATCTGCAGGGATGCATACATACACATCGATCCATCCTGTACATACATATGGCTCACATTTATTTTAAAAAGGAAAAAAAAGCACAACTTTCCTCAGGCTTTTCAAAATTCTCACTCTGCTTTCGGGGAACACTGAATGAGGAATGCTGAGCGATGAAAATAAATCTGAAGGAACAAACTCCTCTGCTGTTTTTCAGGTTTTACATTGAGAGCATATCGTTTTTAAAGGATAAAACCACCGTGGAGCTGTTTTTCCTGAATGCAAAGGCCTGTGTGCACAAGGTAGGTGGCCCATTTGTTGTGTTCACTGGATGCCTCCAGAGTGACTGGGATGACAGGGAGAAATGGTTCTGCCTCTGTTCTTGCATTCAAACTAAGAAAAGAAAAGGCCACAGTCTTTTCCATGAATATGTCCTATCACCTGCGACACACATACACAAATGGCATCTTTTCTCAAATTCTGAGTTAAAAGGACAACCATCTGCAGAGGAATCTTGCATACACACACAATCAACACTACTTTAAATGCAGCAAATAATCCACACAGAGTGACCCAGAGAGACACAAAGATGGATCAATCAGATTATAATCAAAATGTCTAGCCCAGAAATCTTTTGAAATAAGGTATGCTCTACACTGACAATACTTCACAACTTGCCTTATTTCAGTTCAATTTCTGCCTTCTGATCCCTACACACATGCCACCTTAAATCTAAGGAAGACTGCTCATAGCCACATGTTTTCAAGCAGTATCTCAGTTACCTGTGGTAAGGGACCAGGGTTTTTCTTTTATTGTTTTTTATTTCTATCTAATGCATCAAGGACAGATCACTTTAGTAAAAATCAATGAACATGCATTGCTAGAAAAACAATCCCATGCTGGAATGTTGCAGTCATGTCGAATTGCTATAAAAGTTTTTAAACACTCTCAGTTTTTGTCTTATCTCTTTGCAGACTAGCATAGCTTTAAGAGCCTCCACTCTGGTCTCCTGAAAGCACTTCCGGAGGAAGGGAAGGGAAGCCATGGGCCAAGAGGTGCCCAGTGGAGCCGGGATCTTCCCTTGTAGATTCTGATCTCAATGCTTGGGATCTCAGCATACCCTGCCCAGATTGCACATCTGCTTCCAGGCCTTCCTTTAGGTTTATTGAGCATATTATGACTTCATTTTACCTCTTTTGTTAGATTATTAGCTATAACTCTTTGTTGGATACTTTAGGGTTTATAGTATACATCTTTAAATTATCAAGTCTGTCTTCGAGATGATATTATACTACTTCACATGTAGTATAAGAATCTTGCAATACAATACTTCCATTTCTCCCCTCTCAGCATGTATGCGATTGATGTCATAGTTTACTTTTAGGTAAGTAACAGATACACATGACATTATTATTTTTGTGTAAATATTTAATTAAGAGATTTAAGCAGTACCAAAAGTCTTACATATTTACCCATGGAGTTAGCATTTCTGTTGCTCTTTGTTCGCTTGTGTAGATCAATATTTCTGTCTGTTACGATTTTCTTTCTGCCTGGAGGACTTCCTTTAGCATTTCTTATAGTGCGGGCATACTGGTGGTGAATTCCTTCAGCTTATATCTGAAAACATCTTTATTTGCCTTTGGTTTTTTTTTTTTGAGACGGAGTTTCGCTCTTGTTACCCAGGCTGGAGTGCAATGGCGCGATCTCGGCTCACCGCAACCTCCGCCTCCTGGGTT